TTTTTTTTTTCTTTTCCCTATATTCTTCTCTCAACTTCTGTTTCTTTTGCCTTCCACTACCTACTCCTAAGACTATCTAGAGGGGACCCCTGCAAGCATAGTTTCCTCTCTCTGTGAAGGGGAGATTTCATGTTGCCCCTTGCCCCTAATGGTTAGGGTATAGGRTTGGGGCCGCCAGTGGGGGTCTGGCTAACACAAAGACCGAGACCTGCCAGTAGCTGTGCCTCCCTTTCTCATCGTCCCCCACCCTTCATCGAATAGCAGCAGAGGTTATGGCCAACACTTTCCCACACACCACACACAACCCACTCGCGCTCACACTCACACCCGTGTTGGTCATAGACCCCGCTAATACCGATCAGGGATATCCAGAGAACTATCACAGTCCGTTGGCACTAAGTCCGCCGCAGGCGGCCATGGTGCTTGAACCCACAACCTCCTGAATGCCACAACCTTCTTTTTTTTTCTTTTTTTTTTTTCGCTGACCAACACCACTCTGAAAACCCAAGCTCGTACTCCACCAGTACCAACACCACTCTGAAAACCCACGCTCGTACTCCACCAGTACCTCCGCGAGCCTTGTTTGTCTTTGTTTTGCAGTCATGTGGTGTTGGTATGTTTTGCAGTCATGTGGTGTTGGTAGTTCCTTCGCAGTTAATTGTCGCAGTTAATTCTCGCAGTTGATTTGCTGTAGTGGGGTCGTCTCAAACCGAGGGGACCAACTGCTCAACGGACTGCGCGAACGAAGTTTTGAAACGGGCTTGGCTGTGACGAAATAGTGTTTTTTGTTTCGTGGAAAGGCAGATGTTTGGCTTGTAAGGATAGCTTGTGAGGATAGCATCAGTGTGTCGGACTAGAACTCTGTGACAAGACAGTTTCTGTTGTTCGGTGGAATTTGGCTTTGGAGTATAAAATCAGTGTTCACGTGTGAAGGATCATTTTTTTGCGGTGTTGTTTGTGGTGTTGGTAGTTCCTTGCAGTTGCAGTTCCCTTGCTGTAGTGTGACTTCTGTTTCAAAACGATCTGGAGTTTTGTCGAGTGTGACTCTCTTGTCGTATGTTTGTTAGTCATGTTGTGTTGGCAGTTCATTGCAGTTGAGTTGCCATTGTGCGACTTGTGTTGAGGTTTGTTTGTAGGCTGCTGTGTTTCGTTTCGAGTTTGAAATCCTCAAAGCGTGATGATTGGCAAGGGAGAGAAAAAGTCGTGAGATAGGGGAACTTGCTCAATGGATTGCGTCACTGAAGCTTTGAAATGTGAGTGGGCTCTGAGTGCATGATAAAATAGGCTTTGCTTTTTTTTTTTTTTTTTTTTTTTTAATTTGGGGTGACTAGGGCGCAGTCACGATTTCAGTGTTAAATATATTTCAGGTATCCCTCAAATCGAACACATACCCCCCCCGACCGTAAAGTTAGGTTGTATACAGTCACTTTTTCCTCGCTTTGGCACAATAGTCGTGAAATCGTGACTGAAGAGCACTTTCAGACTGAAACCGGGACTGCGCTTTGGTTTTCCCTCTTATTTTTGTTCGATGGAATTCTGTTGGAAGCAGATCATTTCGCTTGTTAGCGTATCACGAGTGTTTCTTTGCAGTGTATCGTCTATATGCGTAAATGTCTACATCCTCACGTTAAGGTTTATTTTTTTGCGGCACAGAACAGTTTTTCTCTGCATTGTGTCGTGACACTATCGTCTGTTCATCAATGGGGCGAGTTCGCTTCGGAGTATAGCATCTGTATAATTTCCGTTGTAAGGTTCCGTTGAATTGTGTCCGAGGCAGATCTCGCTTCGTCGATACATTGTTTGACATAGGCGAGGGCGGTTTTCTGCACCTTTGCGCAAAACACGTCCAGATTCCGGCATTCAATCCAATCTTCTTTCTGCTAGTGGGACCTCGCCTGGAGTCGTTGGATGGTCGTGAAAACGTTGCAGCTTTGCTAGGTTCATCCTCGTGTTGTACAGAGCAGTTTGCCCTCCTGGGGGAGGTCCAGCCAGCAAAGCGGATGGGATTGTGCTCGCGAATCTGGATGTGTTTTTGCCAGAGGTGCAGGAAAGTAGGTAAATCTCGATTTCTGCTTCTGCACCTTTGCACTGATGGGCAATTGCAAAAATAGCGCGTTCTTGAAGTTTGGCAGCAGAAAAGTTATACGGGTCCGAAACATCTATTTTTGCAAGGAAAGTGGGGCCCCCGCCAGCAAATATTTTTGCTGTGAAACTACCGGGACCTCTAAAGCTGCAACGAAAGATACATTTTTGCAACGAAACTTGGGCCCCGCCAATATTTTTGCTGCGAAACTTCAACAGGCGCGCTATTTCTGCAATTAACCCTTGCACTAAACCGTCCAGGTTCCGGCACTCAATCCCGATCTTCTCTGCTAGTGGACCCGACTTCTAAGTTGTTGGATGGTCGTGACAACGTTGCGACTACGCCGAGTAGGTAGACAATGTCAAGGCAGAGCAAGTCGCTCAGATGCACGTCACAAGTTTGGACTATTCTGTCGCTGTACATAATGTATTAGACGAGTTGTCTCAGGGTATTTGTGGGGTCAAAAGGTGATTTGGGATTGTAGTATTATCAAATCGTTGTGTATTTGTGCGGTCAAAAGGTGATTTGGGATTGTAGTATCATTAAGTCGTTGTTGTTGAGCGGTTGGAACGTGTGGTTGCGTCTTTGTTGTTCAAGATCTGGCGTGTCTGGAAGGTCCGTTCGAGGGTCAGACTGCCGCGACGTGTTTTGAGACAAAAGCGCCACACTGCAGCACCTCATCTGCGAAGAACTAGAAATCACATGACTACAAAACGTCGACAAACGAGTCAATCATGCAAGGCTCGTTTTGATGGCCACGAACTGCCAACACACAAAGTCTACAAACGAGCCTCGACCACAAATCCGTCAAATCACATGACAACAAAACGTCGACAAACGAGTCAATGCAAGGCTCGATTTGATGGCCACGAACTGCCAACACACAGTAGTCTACAAACGAACCTCGACCACAAATCCTTCTCCTCACAAATGACTACACATCCACAAGTCACACTACAGCAGCCTGAAGTCAGCTGCCAGCAGCTTGAAGTCAACAAGGCTGCTTACCATGTCACACACTGGGCAGTCCACTGGGCAGTCGACATCACACAAATCGCCTAACAGTAAAACTAAAAGCAGCATACACGGACAAATACAACCGACAGCACTGATCTCCTACAACACTCGACTACAAGCATTTTACACCAAAGACATCGCTCAGCCGGAGCCGTGTTAGCAGAGATAAGCCAACACCGCGCTTGACGGATGCACCACCGCAGGTACAAAGGCACTCTCCTACTCGTCTACATCTTCGCCGCGCAATCCGCACGAATTCACAACTCACAACAGTAGTTGGCACTATAACACGTACCTCTACTCCGCCAAAAAAAATACTAGACGATCCGCAGAGATTCGCAATTATAACCAGATGCACATCACTCACGTGTATACGACATCAAAAAACTCCAATCGTCTACAGCCAACGTAAGAGTCGGATTCAGGCCTCCCAGGCCTCTCAAACGATCTACGGTAATATACAAGATGGACGACGACCTTCATGACTTCACAAACTACCAAATCTACGAGATAGACGGTCGGATGCCTTAATCGGACCGCCACCATACACTGCCGTCATAAGCGTCACATTCTGGCCTCCCAAACGACCTACGGTAATATACAAGATGGATGCCTNAAGATGGATGCCTTAATCGGACCGCCACCATACACTGCCGTCATAAGCGTCACATTCTGGCCTCCCAAACGACCTACGGTAATATACAAGATGGACGACGACCTTCGTGACTTCCCAAATTACCAAATCTACGACATAGACGGTCGGATGCCATATATTGGGACCGCTACCATATCAGTCAAACTCATTTTCTCTCCTCCCGGGACCAACATACACAACACCGATTGCCTACCATTCGGTCAATCATATGCGCAATCATTCACATTGCGTAATGGCGGATTGCTGACAAAAGTGCGTCCAGAGCAAGTGTCGTGACAACAATGACATACAAATCTACACACTCCGCTTCGTCAATGACAAGCACAATCCAAATAATGCAGTGGTGGATTGCTGACCCAAATGACGAGAGCAATTGTTCCAATGCTATACAAATCTATTATACACTCCGCTGGTGCCTGATGCTTCGCCAACGAGCAGCTTCCTCTACAACTCCGGCACCTCCTGCTGCTCTTTCTGAGAGCTCGAAGGCGGCAGAATGACGGAATACTGCGCCCTCCGGGAGCGCAGTTTCTTCACAAGATCACTGGGAATGTTGAACGCCTCTTCGACGACGCGCTCCGGCATGTTGCTAAGCAAGGAGTTATGACCAGCAAGATGGCTCCAAAACGGTCGCGAAGACGTCATCACACTGACGAACTCGAGACCTTCATCCTTCGAGGCGACCTTAACCGACGGATAAAAGCGCGGGATGACAACGACAGACCCGGCATGCACGTGGGTGTCCAGAGCGTTGCTGCCGTCCGGATGGACGATCTGAATCCGCCCGCTACCGCTGGTCACGTGCACAATCATGTGAGCATTGACAGACAATGCTGGTACCCTCACTGCGCCCTTCTCGAGTTTAACGACTGCGAGAGAGAAACTCAGGCCAAACTTTCCGAGCGCCGGCAGCAGTTCTTTGTTGACCAGCCGAATTTCACCGCCTTCATTGTGGACCGCAGGAGTCGCCGCCTCCACATTGTAGGTGAAATCTCCCAAGAACCAAGCGGCGCTTCCCTGCTCTCGGTGACCACCTCCATGCCGCTTGGTGTGCGCGAGCCCATCCACGARTCTAAACRCGTCGCTMAGMATTTCCAYGTGTGACAGCTTGCTCACRAACCGCTCCCACAACTCCGGATGCTGACTCTTACTCACCTTCACGATCCCCACCCCCTTCTGCGAATGGAGTAGTTTCTCCACATCTGACTCGTCCACGCCCCACGCTTGGGCGAGCACGTCCTTACTGAAGCCGTGAAGAACGCCGCCGTGCCCTGCGCGCCCTTCGCCCTCCCGCTTCGAGGCTCCCGCCAAGAAATAACACCCATCCGCCTCAGTCTTCCCACCCATCTCGCCCGCCAGTGATGCTGGGAAATCCGTAACTGCCAACGCCTTAAAGGTGGCCGTCTGACCGCCCTCCCTCTCGCTCTCGTGGTGACGAGTGCTCTGACCGCCCTTCTTCTTGCTCTCGTGGTGATGAGTGCTCTGACCGCCCTCCTTCTCGCTCTCGTGGCGATGAGTGCTCTGACCGCCCTCCCTCTCGCTCTCGTGGCGATGAGTGCTCTGACCGCCCTCCCTCTCGCTCACGTGGCGATGACTGCTGTGACCACCTTCGTGATGATGGTTGCAAATCCACGACACCCAGCCACGAGGAACTACGAACATCTCCCCCTTCTTGAGTCTCCGAAGCGTTGCCGGGATACCCCACGGCGTCATCAGTCCTGCGTATGCTGAGCCTTCAAGCACGTAGATAACGTGATGGCCCGACGAGTAGGTAGGGAGCAAGAAGCCATCCTCCTCCAGCGTAAGGTGCGCCGCCGAAAACCTCCTACCTGCGTCGGCTATGTGCTCGAACGACTCTGCCCACATCGACACTGACCCTCCGTCCGATTTCAGGACCTCATGGTGCTCAGTGTACTCGAGACGCCGTTCCCCCGTCTTGGTTTTGCCGCCCACGGCCTCTGCGACGACTACGAACATGCATATCATCGCCAGTGCAAGCACTGCTTTGTACCTCACGCCAGTCGCCATAGCTATCTCCATAGCTGCCTTCGACAGAGCTCTCTTCGTTATTCGCTATCTTCAAATGCCAGAGCGTCTACAAAGTCGAAGCTACGCACACCCTTTCGAGCCTTTCAGCTAACCGTAGACTGGACCGAACCCGCTGACTTGCACGTCCAACCCCTGCTTACGTCTCTGAATTCTATCGTCGAGTCAAACGCCTCCTACGTCCACAATTGACCAGATTGGTAACGACGCGCCCATTTATATGATTCGTACTGGCGTTACTAGCCGCGTTAGTGCGAGGCACATTGGTGCCTGGGACGAACTAGCCGCGTTAGTGCGAGGCACATTGGTGCCTGGGACGAACCAGCGGCCTTAGGACCAGGCCCCGCGGGTGTAGTATTCATGCCCGAAAAGCATGAGGCTGCCGGTTATTTCGGGCAGGTTCGCGCTTCCTGGCGTGAACATAGTACCACTCGGCCCTGCCCCTTACCACCCACGGACCTCAATTCACCTGCCGCTACGTACCACCACTGCTAAGGCTATACAGGGGACCCTTGGAAACATAGCTACCTCGCGATGAAGGGATTGCATGTTGCCCCTTGCCCCAGTTGTTTGGGGTGCAGGGTGGGGCCGCCAGTGGGGGGCCTGCTAACACAAGGACAGAGCATTTGCAAGTAGCTGTGCCTCCCTTTTCATCTTCCCCCACCCCCATCGAGTAACTACTTGATGGGGTTGGCCGAAGACGAAAAGGGAGGTGCAGCTACCGGCAAATGCTCAGTCCTCTACTCAATTGGGGTGGGGGAAGACGAAAAGGGAGGCGCAGCTACTGGCAAATGCTCGGTCCTTGTGTTACCTGGGCCCCCACCGGCGGCCCCAACCCTGCACAGTGACCCTAAAGTTCCTAAACCACTGGGGCAAGGGGGACAAAAAGGGCAAATTTCAATCCTTTCATCGCCGCGATGAAGGTATGCTTGCATGCGTACCCTGTATAGCCTCAGGAGTACTGCTAGGTAGTGGAAGGTGAACAGAGGCTCAAGAGTTGGCTTAGGTAAAACACCGTCCAGGGTGGCTCTGAGGAAACATTCGGTTTCGGACGGGCCTTGTGACGCTCAACCTCACGCCCAACGCGACTTCCTGTTTTCGGAGTGATAGGGCGCCCGAAAGTGCGTAGTAGGGGTGTGCCAAGGATTTAGGAAAGTGGCGTGGAGTCCCAGGTTGGAACTGAGATCTCCGGTGTTCGCAGGCCGTCAGGGTTGCGTTTTCCCCCCCTGAGACATCTTCGTCGTCGTTTGTTATACCGGTCGTTGATTCCGGCCCATTGGTCGTTCAAAGGCCGGTAAAATGAAAGGCACTGGCATTTCGGGGGGGGGGGGCAGTTCAAGCAAATGCAGGACCGGTATTTGCCCGTGCCATTTTCCTGGGAACCGGTAGGTGGCCGTGGTAAAATATCTTGAAACGACGTGGGGGCCGCAGGTCCTTGAAATTCAAATATGAAACGGTGTGGACCCAGGCCTACAGCCTCATGCCCAGCCCACCCACTTCGGCCCAATCGGCCTGGATGATTTTGTCTGAATCTGGAAGCAGTTCTGAGCCAGATTCAGAAACAGAGATGTTCTCTCTCTCTCTCTCTCTCTCTCTCTCTCTCTCTCTCTCTCTCTCTCTCTCT